CAGCCGCAGTAGGAAATGACGACAACATTAATGACGTCTTTACCCTCTCGCAGCACTGCCACAGCGTGCTGCGATGATTTTTGGAACGGTGTTGGCAGTACTGCCAGCGCTGACAAACAATTTTGGAACACAGCCTTCATAAGCATGCTTTTCATGCAAACGCAGCTTTCATTTTGGAACGATATTTTCAGTGCTGTCAGCATATAGCGACGTCAGCGAAAAGAAATAAGTAACCTAGAAATATGGAGAGAAGCATACAGAAAAAATTCGTATTTGAAACTATTATAAAGTTAGCACTTGATTCTAGTGATGAAGAGTCTAGTGATTCAGATTCAGAATTAGCGGAAATTATATATAATTATTGCGAACGTCAACCAAGAATACCGAAGGTACATTGTAAAAATTATGTCGAAGATGTTGTTTGGCAATACACCGATGTGGATTTTAAGAGTCATTTTCGGTAAGTTATTAAATTGTTAATAACATACAGTTTAAATTCAATAAACGTGATAATAATGTATGTTCTTGTTTTTTTCCATAGCCTCAGTTGACCAACTTTTCGGTTCTTATTGGAATTATTGAAGGGCATGGTAGACAAACTATATCACCAGAAAAAGCGTTATTATTAATAATATTAATGTTAGGAACTCCTAATTCTTATAGGTAGCTTAAATTGATTAGATTTATGATTTCTTAAAGATATGACTAATGTATTATTAAGATATGTTCTCAATGAGTGTGATGTGCGTGGAAAGGCAAAGTAAGCCAACACAAGATATTCGTGTGTAATGTAAGATAATACATCTTACATAATAATACATCTTATAATACATAATACATCTTATAATACATCTTATAATACATCTTATAATACATCTTATAATACATCTTATAATACATCTTTTTGCTCGAAGCACAAAGATCGTAATAGTAATGAGGAAGGTAAGAAAGTTAAGGGAACGGTATATACCATTGATGTTTCAAGGATAGTCAAAAACCAGTTTGTTCATAGATGGAATCAGATTTGTAGATTGTTAAACAAAATTTTATGCAAAGCTAAATGATTGTATTGAGAAATAATGTACATATTTTGTTAACGCCTATTGTATGTGAATAAAATAAATTTACTTTTTGATTTCCTCTTGTACATAGGTTA